GTTTTTGGATCAACTGATAATTCGTTATGTGTAGAATTTGCTAAGATAATGCAGGGAGAGTTTGAAATGTCTATGATGGGAGAATTGACATTCTTCCTTGGACTACAAATCAAGCAACTTAAAGATGGGATTTTCATCTCTCAAACCAAGTACTGCAAAGAGATCCTCAAAAATTTTGGTATGGACACCTCAAAGGAAGCTAACACACCCATGGGAACTTCATGCTATCTAGACAAGGATGAATCAGGTTTGGAAGTTAATCAAACTATGTATAGAGGTATGATAGGATCACTATTATACTTAACTGCAAGTAGACCTGATATTATGCATTTTGTTTGTGTGTGTGCTAGATTTCAGGCTTGTCCTAAAGAATCTCATCTAATTGCAATAAAACATATTTTAAAATATTTAAAAGGAACTACTGATTTTGGTTTGTGGTATCTGTCTGATGCTTGTATGAGTTTAATAGGATATTCCGATGCTGATTATGGTGGCTGTAAAATTGATAGAAAAAGCACTAGTGGAACATGTCATTTGTTAGGTTCATCCTTAATATCTTGGCATTCTAAGAAACAGGCATGTGTTGCTTTATCTACCACTGAAGCTGAATATATTGTAGCTGGTAGTTGTTGTGCTCAAATTCTGTGGATGAAACAACAGTTAGAAGATTATAATATCTTTTTAGATGACATACCCTTGATGTGTGATAATACGAGTGCAATTAACTTAACTAAGAATCCAGTAATGCACTCTAGGACTAAACATATAGAAATAAGACATCACTTTTTAAGAGATCATATCAGCAAAGGAAACTGTAAAATAGAGTATGTAGATACCAAACGTCAATTAGCAGATATATTTACTAAGCCTCTACCCAAGGATAGATTCTATGATCTTAGAAGAGACTTAGGAATATTAGACATTGCCTAAATTCTGCTTAAATAAAAGGCTTTTACATGATTGTAATGTTATATATCTCTTTGTCTGTAATGATGTTTCTTTATGAAATGAAATTTGTTTTTTTTAATGCTTTGATTGAGGGGGAGTTATCTTCAACTTATGCATATTTTGAGGGGGAGCTCTTATGATTGTTATTGCAAAGTTCTTTTTGATTATAATCAAAATAGGGGGAGAAAAATTTAAAGCCTCTTATGAATTGCATTTAAATATTATCTGGTATGTTTGATGTGTTTGTTAGTATGACAGATAAAACAGGTTATTACAAGGGCTTTAAAAGATAATTTTGATCATCGTCAAAAAGGGGGAGATTGTTGAACATTCAAGGACTTGATGTTGCACTTGATGAACATGAAGATTGTTAATTTTGATGATGATTCAAGAACTCAAAGACTTAATGTGTTGAAGACTTGTTTTGTATTGTAATAACTCTGTTTTAATTAGATTGAGTCTGTAATTTTAGAGTTTGAGAGAGCCGGTACATAGTCTGCAACTTAGAAGCTTCAAAAAGCCCAAATATATCATCCAGGCTCGGCTTTAATCGATTATATAGGGAAATAATCGATTAAAACAGTGAGAAAACCATTTTCAGTGTATACTCACTGTTTTAATCGATTAAAACATCAAAATAATCGATTATTAGGTCACCTTTCTAGTAGCTAAATTAAGTCTCCTATAATCAATACATACTCTCCAACTATTTTTCACTCCTTGTGGAATTAAATCACCTTTTTCATTTTTAATAATAGTTAAACCATATTTTTTAAGAATAGTATGTACATGTATAGGATAAATTATACTTACTTGATATAATTTAGTCACCTCTTTTTTAATTACATCCAAAATTTGTGGATTCACCCTCCTTTGATGTTTCTAATAGGCTTAACATTATCATCCAATAAAATTCTATGCATACATAAAATGTGACTAATTCCAGGAATATCATCAAGAGTCCAACCAATTGTCTTTTTATTTTTCTTAATTATAAAAATTAATTTATTTTCTTGCTTAATATTTAACAAATTAGAAATAATAATAGGAAAATAATCATTATCACCCAAAAATGCATATTTTAAATTAGAAGACAATGGCTTTACATTAGAAACAAAAGAATCAATAATTTTAGGCTCTGGATTTTCTAAAAATTCAAAAATATTTTGTGGATTTTCTGTTTTTCAATATTTTTCTTCTCTGGCCCTAATATGCTTAGCGGTTTAATAATCCGCTTAGCGGTTTCATCGGGCTAAGTTTTCCGTTATGGGGAAAATCTACTGAGCAGATTCAGTTTCTACTCCACGGCCACAAAATAAGTCAATCTACTAAGTGAATTTAGCTCTCGCTCAACGGTTTTATGAAAATTCGCCACTAAAGTTAATCCGTTAAGTAGATTCAGCTTCCGCTCAGTGCTTTCATCAAACAAAGGCATTGATTGTATTATTGCCAGATTTTCGTTGAGCGGATCTAGCTTCCACTCAGCACTTGAAGCACAAAAAAATGATTTTGAAAATTTCTTCATCAAACACAGTTCGAACGTCATAATTAAGAAGTTTTTGGGACATATTCAAAATCAATTCATCAATAACATCATTCCTAAATGAAGAATGATCTTCACATGGATATTTTAAGGCATCTAGGATATTAAATTTAATTAATGTGTCACTAAACTCCATAGTTAATGAACCAACATAAACATCAATCTTGGTGTGTGTAGTCTTTCAGAATGGTCTTCCCAAAATAAGAGGAGGTGGATCAAGTTTAGAGTCATTAGAAAACTTACCTCCCATGTCCAAGATGTAGAAATCAACATGAAAGACAAGGTTGTTCACCTTCACCAAGACATCCTCAAGTACACCAGCTGGTTAAACTATGCTTCTATTTGCCAATTGAATTACCACACTAGTAGGTTGCATAGATCCAAGACACAATGAAGAATACATAGCTAAAGGCATAACATTAATTGAGGCTCCTAAATCTAACATTAAATCTTTAAACCTCTTATTGCTTATAACACATGGAATTGTAAATACACCTGGATCTTTACATTTTTCAGGAGTCATAACATTAGGTGCAGTAAGCAATGCACAAATATTTCTCCCTAGATTGATCTTCTCATTGCTCTTGAGCCTTCTCTTATTGATGCACAAATCTTTCAAGAATTTTTCATATTTTGGCACTTGTTTTATGACTTCAAGTAGGAGAATATTCACTTCAACTTTTTGAAACACTTGCAACAACTCACTGTCCAACTCCTCATTCTTCTAATTGCCTTTAAAAAGAAAGAGTTGAACTTGAATTTCGTAGCTACCAACATCAGTACTGGTTGGGACTATAGTGGTTTTTTTTTTGCTCCATTAGAGGCTTTAGAATTGCTGCTTTAGTATGATATTTTGTTCATTTGCTTCTCAACACGAATTCCAACATTTACTTCATCATTATCAATAAGATTTGCACTATTTCCAACCACTAAACCAGCTTCAATACTGGTGTAAGCTTCAGCTGCCATTGTGGAACCTTTTGCTGCATTTTTTGCTACATTTTTGTTTTGCAGTTTTTCTGTTTTGGCTCCAGCATGACTAGCATCTTCCTCCTTTTGTTTTTCTTGTGAGGCTTCATGAATAATGGGTCCAACAAACACTTTTCCTATTCTATGGGTCATAGCAGTCACATTTTTTGGATTCACAATAGTTTGTTGAAAGCCATCCAACTTGATTTTCTAGTGATTTTGTAGTTGCCTCAGTCCTTTGTTGAAATTGTAGGTTGTTCATGGTCAACTGCCTCATCAATTCCTCCAAAGATGGTTGACTTTCACTACTAGAGGGTTGAGCCTATGAATTTTGTCCAAACTACTACATATTGTTTCTTATTTTGTGGTTTATATGGTTGATAGACTTGTGGATTTGGTGGATGCATGTTTTACGATGGAAAATATGGAGGTTGGGATGGAGATGAATAATTATGTTGTGGAGGAAAATAATTAGGCTGCTGCATATGCATATTTTGTTGCTGCATAGGTGGTTGTGGCTGCATAACATTAGCTTGATTTCCCCATTTCAGATTAGGATGGTTCCTCCAAGAGGGATTGTTTCTATTTGTGCTTAAATCAACATTAGAATTTGGGGAAAATTTCTGAAAAATGGCACACACCTATGGATCTTCAATAGACATGCTTGAAATTTGAGAACATTCATGGGTAGCATGCTGACTTGAAGTGCATAGACCACACACAACACCAACAAATGGAAAGTTTTGCTACATAGGTGTTGTTGTGTGTGCAACATAATGGAATTGTTGTTGATTCTGTGCCAATTGCTTGACCATAGATGCAAGGTTGTCTAATTTATTCTCCAACTGCTAGTGTTCCATAAAATAACCAGTTTAAACTTCATGAACACTTCTCCTAGTTATGTTGCCTCTAATGGAAAACTGTTAAGAGTTAGTGGTCATTGTTTCAATCAATTGTCTAGGCACATTAGGAGTTTTGTTAACAAGTGCTCCACCACTTGTTGCATCAATCATGCTTCTATCCATAATTGTAAGACCTTCATAGAATTATTGGATAAGAAGTTGCTCAATGTTAGCACCTAATTTCGTCCGGGTAAATAGAATAAAATAATAATAATAATAAATAGTAGTGTTTGTTTTGAAAATATGAAAAAAAGAAGGATTAAAAAAAGTAGTTCCATTTTTCTTAATACTTTATTTTTAAAATTAAAAAAAAAGGGAAAAAGAAAAATATATGATTAAAAAATATATAATTTGTCTCGTTAACATCTTACACTTTCAAGAAAAAAGAAAAGAAAAATTTCTTTTTTTAACAGTTTCCATTTCCTAAATAAAATAAAAAAGTATACATATTACTTTTATTAGTGTTATCTTTTTAGATAAATGAAAAAAGAGGAGGTAATTATTTTTATAAAATTCTAATGAAAATATAATATAAAAAAAGAAAGAAAAGAGTAACAAAAATATAAAAGAGAGATTAGGTTTTTACTTTCTTTAAAGCCCAACCCATGAGGTGTTTTTAACCTAAATGTTAGGTTTAAATGGACGGGCATGACACAAAAAAATGGACCCTTGTCACCACTTTCCCTTCACGTGGTAACCCCTTACTCGCATCCTCCACCTTCCGCACCTGCTCCTCACCTTCACTTCCCATTTCCAACCACTCACCCACACGTAAATCCCATCTTCCCCCTCACCACAAATCAATATCTCCCAAATCACCACACCATTGCACCAGGGCATCATGGCAGCCTCCACCGCCCCCAATCACCCAACCTTCACTCACCTTTCATCCCATTCTTTTCCCCTTTCCCTTATCTTCTCCAGCACTACCCTCTTCACCTTCTAAATCACCTTCGCCAATCTCCACCATGGGCCGCCTCCCCTCACTGGAGTTGCGAACCCAGCTCAAGCCACCGTGTATCGCTTGCTCACTTGCACTAACCCTTCTACCTAGTTCCCAATCTCCGCCAGTGCCGCGCTGCCATTGTGATTCGTAGCACCACCAATCGCGACCCACCTCCTTCACCAAAACCCTAGCAGATTATTTCCGCCCATTGCTAAAATCAGGAGCCACCAGGAGCCTAGGCAAACCTCCAGCCATCACCGGTGGCCAATGCGTCCTCACTGGTGGCTATTGCGAGCCCCACCGTGGAACCATCCTGCCTTCTTCACGCTTGACCTGCGTCCCTCACCATGACCACCACGGGTCTGATGAGTCATTATATTCCCATATATTTCTTACCTTTTTATACTTATTTTAATTAGTGTTTTGGGCTTAACTGTCTGTTATTAGTAAATTTTTATTAATTGGGCTTCATTGGGCCAATAATTCAAATTTTAATTAATTTGAATCTATTTGATCTTTTTCTCATTATTATTTTCAAGATAGTTTAAAGCAATTATGGGCTTGGAAGATTGGGTCAGATGTCATGCTAGCTGTCCATTAGGATTAGGGTTTTTGTTTTATTTGTTTCTTATGTGTTTTGTGGGCCAGTTGGGCCCAAACCTAGAGGAGACATTGTCCATTAGGGTTAGGGTTATTTATGTTAGTGATCATGCAACTGCATGAGGGAGCTGCATACTCGGAACTCCAATTTTGTCTTCTGCATTTTGTATTCAAGTTTGTTTACTCTCCTATCATTATTTTAAATTCTTGTTTCGATTTTAATTATCTCTCCTCTTCTACGTTTTCAATTTTCCATCGATAGCTAAATCTTTGTATTGATTTCCTTATTGGAATGCAGTGTCACTTGTAGACCCCTAATCTTGCCCGACCTCGCAATAAAGACTAGAAATCCTCCGTTCGAAGATGGACAAGGCTTCATTGGGCCCCTAGTAATGTTCACTAGGCTCCATGTGAAGATAGGAGAGCTTTCTGGATGCAAAAAAATAAGAAAAAGTAGGAAAAACCTGTCAGGGAGCTCGGGACGGCCGTCCCACTTGTCCAGACGGTCGTCCCATTTTTTATTTAGGTTGGGACGGCCGTCCCACCTTCATTTAACATTGGGACGACTGTCCCACTTTCCCAGATGGCCATCCCACTTATTTTTGAGCCCAGGACGGTCGTCACAAATTCCTAGACAACCGTCCCACCTGTCAAGAGCCCAGATGACCGTCCCACCTGTCAAGAGCCCAGACGTCTGTCCCGGCTTGTCTGGCACATTTTTCTATAAATAGGACCTAATTCTTACCATTTTACACACACTTTCACACTCTCCTATGCTCTAGAGGACCTATTTTGGGACTTCTAAGCAACTCTGAACATTATTTCATAGTACGAGTGATTTTTTGACACTCAAGGAGTTTAGTTTTTATTTTTGGTTTGAGGGAGGAGTGTCTCTGTAGAGTGTGGGGACTGGGAAAAAGCGTACTCAAGTGCAAGATTTATAAAAGAGGTGGTCGGAGCGACGCAATGGTTTTGATTGACTTGCATTTTCTAAAGAAGTGGTCAACGCTTTTAGGTTGTCCGATTACTGGGCTGAACCTAAAGGCGAGGTTTTCATAAAAGGTTTTATGGAGTCGCCACTAGTGTTTTAACCTTAAACACTGAAAAAGGTAAAAGGGCATTGGTTTTAGAAAAAAACCAACTTTTGTCATTACAACCAGAGTCAGGTAAGGGAGTTAGTTACGTGTGGGGAAGGTGTTAGCACCCCATAACACCCCTTTCGGGTTCCCTATGATGGACTAGTTTATAAAATAAATACTTAAAGAAACTATGCTTTTACCCTATTATTTTACCTACTTGCAGAATTTAAATGTCTACATGGCCCTAATATCTAATGCATAAAAGGAAAGCGATAAAGAAAGCAGTAAAGGAGAAAGAGAGTAGGGAAGGAACCTCCGAAGCGAGCTTTATATTAACTCAACTTGAGGATGCTTTTTGGTAGTCCCCACACTCTACAGGCACGCTCCTCCCATAAAAGAGAAAATTTCACTCTACCGAGGGCCGGATGTCTCAAAGAGAGACCTCCTTAACCGATTTCTACCTTAACAAAAATCGAAAAGCTCACTCAAACTTCGGAATAATGCTCAGAGTCACTCTAAAGTGCCAAAAGGCTTCCTAGAGAGTGGTAGGAGTGAATAGTGTGAAAATTTTGAGGAATGAGGCTCCTATTTATCAGGAATCACGCCAGGAAAAGTGGATGACCGTCTGGGCTAAGTGGACGGCCGTCCATGGAAAAAAGTGGCCATGGACGACCATCCATGTAGGGTGGACGATCGTCCATAGCAAAAAGTTGCCATGGACGGCCATTTGAGTCAAGTGGACGACCGTCCATTACCTTAAAGTAGGCATGGACGACCATCTGACTGTCCTGGACGGCCATCTGCTGTTTCTGACGAAATTTCCGATTTTTATTGCCTCTGAAAACCCTTCCTATCTTAAATGGAACCTAGATAAAGCTACTAGGGACTTAAAAAAGTCTTGACCATCTTCGAAACGGGTTATCTCTAGCTTTATTTGGAAGCCGAGCAAAATTTGGGGTATATAGCTGCTCCCCCTTCATCCAACCAATTAACTACAGACTAATGTGCCTTAAGGTCTGTTGACGGGTGAAGGAGTTAACCCTCTTGCCCGGTTGTCCTCATGATGCTCGTCTTGTCATGGTAGCTGACCCTCGGGACTATGAATGTAGTCTAGTTCTATTTTTAGGATGCTTCCTTACTACGGAGGTTGACCCTTCGGACAATTTGTTGTGAGGCTTCAGGATGCTCCTTTGATGCAGTAGCTGACCCTTCGGCTGAAGATCTCCCTTTGGGATGCTCCTTTGATGCGGTAGCTGACCCCTTAGGTAGCGAATGCGTAGTTGACCCTAGTTTTCAGGATGCTCCCTTACTGCAGAAGTTGGCCCTTCAAACGGTAAAGGTGGGTTGTGTCCTTCGGATACCCCTTTGCAACGGGGCTGATCCTTCAGATGATGTGAAGAACTCTATCTTCTGGATGCCCTTTTGCTGTGGTGGCTGATCCTTCTGACAGAGAAGGTGGTGGCGGCTTACTGCTCTAGCTCATGCGCTAGCTCCATGGGGAGTGATTTTGTCGGGGATTCTTGATGAATACCTCTTAAGTAGGAAGGAATTATCTGATGATTTGTTGATTTAGATGGTGCCTCTGAATAGGTGGATTGCTTCATCGGAAGTGAAGGTTTTTGGCTTGTATTGTTTTGCCTATGTATAGGCAAGCGACTCACGCGACTCACTGAGGATGAGTCTTTGAAAATGGTCTTAGTAGTAGGCTCACTGGGGATAGATTCCTTTCTCTTTTTGGTTGATCCACCGGGGACTTGGTTGACTTCCTGGTGGTCAAATTTTGGTTGCCTTCTAGGGCATGGAGTCTTGGCTTTTGGATTATATTGGTGATAGGCTTTTGCATAGCCTTTATTCTCCTTTGATGGTGGTGGAGAATGGGTGAGTCGTGTGGAGATATTTTGGTTCGGCTCTGGAGTAGGCAATGATCCGCTTGGGAACAAAGCCTTTCTGCCAGTTCTGTTTTTGAAAGTTGTCTTCCCTTTATTCGGTGGAAAGATAGTATTTAGAGTTTATTTGGTTCCAGAAGCTCTTGGTTAATTTCGCCTTTTTCTACGGTTTTATTCTTTTTTCTCGCAATTTTGAAATTTGGCTTTTTCGGAATGATGCATGTGCCTTTTTATTTCCTAGTTTCTTTCATGCACATTGGCTTTTGTAAAAAAAAACAGGAGAGGAAATTAGATGCAAAACGTTAAAAGTTTCATTTATTTTGTGGGGCCCAGAGTACAACAGGAAATTTATTAAAGATCTCAGCTTTCTCGCTCTGAGTTGGATGCTGAGGACAGTGGTGGCAAGGGGAATCGGCGGAGTATGCGACGCTGGAATTCCTCTTGGTTTTAGATCATGCTGTTTAGGTGCTGGCCTATCTCGTCCACCCTTTGTGTGAGGCCATCTACCCTATGGCTAAGACTTTCTTATGGTCGCTTGTAACCCTCCTGCCTTAGGGACATCTGATCGATCTGTTGGCGAAGGTACTGGAATTGTCTGTCCATATGGGTCCTCTCGTCGCCCATATGTCGATGTACACTGGTGATTTCATCCCCTATTACGTTTGCTGCTACTGGGATCCCAGAGGGATGGGTACCTCTTGTGACTCTGATGCGTCCATATCGTGAATGTCGATCGTCATAGCAAGAAGGGGGTGTAAGACCCATGCGGTCCCTTGCCGAGTGAGCATGCTCATGTTGGCGAGTACCGTCCCATCTATGAGTTCTGGTTGGAGGGCGGCAGAGATGTCTTCTCCATCTGTGCATCCCCAATATTTAGCCAGCGGGGTGATGAGGGGGCCTATCATGATGGAGCTTGTTGGACCTCGAGTCCCATCAACGCCTTCAGGAAGAAGTAGCTGGAATTGCATTAGATTCCTTAATGCATGCAGTAGATGGCAAAAAGGTCTGTTTGAGTGACCTTGCCCTAGTTCTCCTTCCTACTGTGAAGGGTGCCTGCTAGTAATTTGTGACAAATGCGAAGAGGAGGGAAGAAGGCGGTCCCCTTTGGGTTAGCAGCAATGTGCTGGGAGCCAATGATCTCCTCCCATATTTGACTGGTGGTTGGCCTTTCACAATATGCCCCATTGTACTCTGCGGTTTGGATCTCCACCGGTTGATGAAATCCAATGAGGACATTGAACTCATCTAAGACGTTGGTCCGGTAGGCCCCTGTCGCCGCCATCAAAACGAGGCGGTTGGAGCGACGCGATGGTTCCGACTTTCTGATTTTCGCATTTTTATTTGGTATGGTTACAACGCCTTTAGGTTGTTCGATAACCGGGCTGAACCTAGGGGTGAGGTTTTCAAAAAGGCGCTCTTGGGTTGTCCGATAACTGGGCTAACCCAAGAACTAGTTTTGAAGGGTTCTTTTTGTAGTCGCCATCGATGTTTTTACCGGAAACATCGGAAAAGGAGTAAAAAAGGCGTTGGTTTTCGAAACCCAACTTTGGTCATTAGAACCAGAGTTGGGTAAGGGAGTTAGTTAC